TATATTTGAAAATCATTATATGTATATTTGTTTTTTGCTAATGAAAACATCAGAAAAGTTTGGAAAAAATAGCAGTCAAGAGAGCCATAAATTTGAAGAAGTTAGGAAAAAAAAAAAGAATAAAAGTCATCATGATAAGGAGCCAGAGAAAGTAAACAAGATAATTTAAAACCAAAGACATGGGCAGACCTCTTACTAAATTCCAAGGCAAAAAAGCTGTGGTGGGAAGGCCGCACATCACACTTTAATAGGTAAATTCTTTAAAGAGCATTTTTCACTGTGAGCTTTAGGTTTACCTTACCATTGTAGATTATATCTATTTTCTAAAAAATTATTTTAAAGGAAATACCAAAAAGCCCATGTTCTTGTCTTAAATAAAACAAAACAAAACCATTACACTATACGTCTTTTCTGGAATTGTACAGAAAAACTTGTAGGAAAAAAATATAATTATTTTGCACCCTTTCTTCATTGCTGGAGGCCTTTTGGGGGGTTGGTACCATTATTTCGGCAGCCCCTTGTATCCTTTTTATTCTTGCTCTCTCTCTGCTCCTGAGTATGAATGGGATTTCAGCTCATTCTGGGAAGTGCTTGTCTTTGCAGCAGGGTCTGGTTTGTGTGGAAAGGCCCAGGGATGTGCTGGGATCTGAGTGTAATTGTGTTTGACAACTAGACAATAGAATCTGCTTCCATGGCTTTTTTTCATGACTGTGCAGGAGGATTCTAATTCAGTCCAACTGAGATCCAATGGCTCTGTCACCACAGGAAAGTGCTAGAAAGTAAAAAATCTTCAGCCCACTAGCTGGATGACTGTTTACATGACCCCAAGTGATTAATGCTGAGTAAAACTTGAATGTAAAGCCTTCGGCTATTGAGCATATTTCAGCTATTGAACTGGCCTGGGTGTCAGTTAGAATTCCAGTCTACAGTTTTAGAAGGCTTGAGAACAAGAGTCTGTTGGGAAGCCATTTCAGTTTGATTTGAGTGTGGTTTAGGGAAACCACCAGAAATGAAGCTCTGTTGGTGAGTAAATACCGTATTACATTTACATGATCAGCCACTTGAGACTTCTGTGTCCTCTCATGTCTTCTGAGTGCCATGAAAGACATGACTCAGAGCAAGTAATTACTCTTAAAAATGGCTAGTGATTTTTAAAGTACTTGACATAGCAGAACTGGTCATTTCAAAATCAAAACAATCATAAAAACGGTTCTTTATTAATTAAAATAATTAATTGTCACTGTGATTAAGACTTACTTCTTGTGGCATTTTCTTTCATTCACTGTGATTTCTGGGAAATGAATGAAAACATTCTTATTTCAAAGAACTTGGAATTGCATTTAGTCAGCTCTCTTAACCTATGCAGACTGTAGCCTATTCATGGGGGAACAAGAGCTAGGAAACAATGGCTGTTACTTAAATGCTAGTTTGTCGAGACGCTTGGTGTACAAATCAAGGCTCGAGAGCATCATTTTGCCATTCCTCACTTGTGAGTTGCATGCAATGTGATTAAAATGAACCTCCCATTTCGCAGTGATTACAACAATATCAAGGCAGCCTACGAGGCCATGAAGAATGTCGCCTGTTTGATCAACGAGCGGAAGCGGAAGCTTGAGAGCATAGACAAGATTGCCCGGTGGCAGGTGTCCATTGTGGGCTGGGAGGTACGCGTGAGCCCACCCCTCTTACCCTCAATTTTACCTCGTCTCCGCTCACTCCCTCCTTGACCTCTGATTCAGTCTGAGCACATACTTTAATACTCTGCAATTGACACTTTATCTGCTTGGCTTCCTACTGTACCCTCCTCCCCACACTAAGAAACACAATCTGAAGAGTGTATGTAATTAACTAATTGCTTACTGTCTGTCTTGCTAGAGAGTAAGCCCATGAGAGCAACTAGAGTGCATTTAAAATGCAGGACTATGTAGAGTGGTTAGACGGATGGCCTCTGGAGTCAAACTCCCTCTGCCTATTGTTGATCTGGGCAGGATTAGTCTTTTCATTCATAAGATAGGGAGGAAAATATTACCTACCTCATAGGGCTGCTGTGAGAATTATGTAAAATGGCACAAATACAGCACTTGTTAAAGCCAATAATGATGGTCCAACAATGTGGGGTGGAAAAAATATATATACACACTCACACACACACACATACACATATATACATGCATATTTATGCACACTTTGTTTATTAAAATAATAACAGCAGTAGCTAGCGCTTGTGTTTACCATGTGTTTAGCACTGGTTTAAGCCCTTTACATATATGAATTCATTTAATCCTCTGAGCAACCCTGTGAAGTAGGGACTGTTAGAACCCCCCCATTTACCATATGGGGAAACTGAAGCACAGAAAGGATAAGTAGTTTGTCCAAGACCACACAGCTAGGAAGTGGCAGAGCCAGATTCAAACCTCAGGAGTCTGCCTTCCAAGGTAATTACCATGTTCTACCACTGCTATTAAGAACAGTAAACTGACAACTTGAAGGCTTGTTTTCTTACCAAGCAAAGCTCACCCCACTCACGTTAATCTGTCACTTTTACCCTATGGAACTCACTTTCCCAGAAGATTGAGAAAATATGGATTGCTGAGAAGTTGGATTTTGCCTAAAGTTGGTTATAGCAGTGACAGCTGGAATGAAACATTTTAAGGCCTCATAGACTCTTACAGCTTGGATGGAACCTTGGAGATCATTGAGTCCTATTCCTCCGTTTTATAAATGAAGGATCTCAGGCATAGAATTGCTTTACACAAGTAAATAGAAGAGCTATTTTGTAATCAAAGCCTTTTTCCTCCAAAAGATTATCTGTGACCAGGATTAAAGGAGAATAAAATTTTATAAAGCAATGGCCAATTTCATAACAAATATACTGTATAGTTACATTGGACTAGATCCAACCTAAATATTTTTAAAGTTTTTTTTTTTTTCCTGTTGATTTTGCATAGAGGGAATAATTTATTGTCAGAAGTTTACTAATTCCTTGCTGGCAGTTTGTCGTCTGGCCTTTTGTTTCCATGACCCTACACTAGTTATTATTCCAGGGAGCTGCTCTATACCTGACTCAGAAAGCAAAGTGTATTTAGCACTGTGTTCCATGCATTTAAAGCCTCCTCAAAGCTTCCTTGTTCTGAAGGATCAGATTGAGCTGGCTCCATTCAAATCCTGACTGGATTCCATTAATCCAGCATGCTTTTCAGCAGAGGTTTCTTGTCTATAAGGAAGATACCTCAGATAACCTAGAGGGGCTTGTAACGTTTTCCCACTCAGTAGGGAAACAGAATTTCATGGGTAAGGAGATTAATAAAATGAGGTATAAAATGGCCTTTGAGGTCTGTTGTTCAGAGAACTGGGGGCAGGAGTGGGAGCCCCTCTGGGTCAGGGAAGTTGAGGAAGACTGTGTCGAGGGACCTCTCCCCACATCACGGAAGCCCAAAGGGGGCAGCATTGGAAGGGCTTTCATGTGTTTTTGTCATTCTAGGGACTGGACATCTTGGACCGGAGTTCAGAATTGATCCATTCTGGAGAGCTGACCAAAATCACGAAGCAGGGCAAGAGCCAGCAGCGGACTTTCTTCCTGTTTGACCACCAGTTGGTGTCCTGCAAGAAGGACCTGCTGCGCAGGGATATGCTCTACTACAAAGGCCGGATGGACATGGACACCATGGCGCTCGTGGACCTGCCGGACGGGCGGGACCGTGACTTCAACCTCAGTGTGAAGAACGCCTTCAAGCTCGTCAGCCAGGACATGGACGAGGTCCACCTGTTTTGTGCCAAAAAGCATGAGGACAAAGTGCGGTGGCTGCAGGCGTGTGCGGATGAGAGGCGAAGGGTGCAGGAAGACCAGGAGATGGGTGAGCGGCATGGTGGGCACTGCACAGTGTTCTAGTTTTACCTTTGTTTTCTAGCCTTATTCTACTGCCCTGCATGCCAGCTCTCCCCCAAGATCTCCCTCGTGAGGTCAAATCCCGCCATTGGGAAAGAAAAAGAAATGGCAAATCCTAAATACTCCTCAGCTTGCTTACAAGGCAGACTATGACAGATAGTTACTGCAGGTAATGTTTATTCAGTATTTATACCTCATGGTTGGCACTGTGCTCCACACTTACCTAGCTTGTCTCATTCAATCCTTACGAAACCCTATGATGTGGATACTAATTATTATGCTCACTTTACAGATGAGGAAAGTAAGGCTTAAGGAGACGGTCCACTTTTATGCTGTGGCTGAACAGTATTTAAAACTAGGTCCATGTGACCTCAGAGACTGAAGCCCATTATGGTGGCTTTTACCGAAGCCATTAGAAATAACAGATGAATCTTTTTTTTATTACACCTGCTCCTCACTTGGAAAGCTGGTGGCGCAGTGGTTAAGAGCAACAGCTGCTAACCAAAAGGTCGGCAGTTCGAATCCACCAGGCGCTCCTTGGAAGCCCTATGGGGTAGTTCTACGCTGTCCTGTAGGGTCGTTATGAGTCGGAATCGACTCACTGGCAATGGGTTTTTGGTTTTTTACTCCTCACTTACCGACTATCTCTTCATCCCATATTTACCATTTACCACAATAGTGAAAAATCTGACTATTTTGCACATTAACAAGGTGGTGGGCACGGCTGTAGTGGCTGACGAGCGCCCCCACCCTCGAGGAGGGTCTCTGGGTAGCCTCTAGGAAGCTGGGCCATGTTGCGTACACCCCCCACATCCTCTTGCCGGCAGGTGTCTGGCCTCTGTGGCCACAGCCTCCAGGCGGATGTGGCAGACAGCACCCAGCCAATAGCGCCTCTTCTGGATTCCCAGTTACTATGTGGCCTGAAGCCCTGCAGCTCAAAATTGCCATGGGGTGGGTGGGGTGGGAAGGGAGGAAAGAAAGAGGCTTCTGAGAGAGCATTTGGAAGAAATGCATGTGAGTTTAATGACATTGCAAAGTGAGTTGAACTGGGCCTGAAGCTCCACCTTCCGGGAGCGGGTGTGTGGCCAGGCTCCCAGCGGAAGCCCCGAGTCTCAGTGACTCTCCAGGCCCGTAGGGCAGAGCAGACTCCCGGATTGTGAAAGGCAAGGTTTGCAGGGGTGGGAGTGGAGCCCTGCAGGTGGCTCCACAAGGGAAGCTCTGACTCGGCACAGGAGGAAGGTGAGGTGGTTAAGCTGTGGGCCCTCCATTCACACAGCCCAGCTTTATCCAGCTTTCTCTCCTCCACATCTCCTCCTCCACAGGGGAATAATCCATAGCTGAACTCGTCACAGTGATGAGCACATCAGTATTACTATTTCTAAGATGATATTTTTTTAATTAAAAAAAAAAAAGGCAAATGGATGGTGTGAAACAAAAAGTCTTCCATTTTCTCATAACACCAATTTTCACATATCAACCTGATTTTTGGAACCTAACCATGTCGATAAGTGAGGAGTGGGCCTATTTTTGTTGTTGTTGTTGAAAGTATACTCAACAAAACATTACACCAATTCAATAGTTTGTACATGTACAATTCAGTGACATTGATTACATTCTTCAAGTTGTGCAACCATTCTTGCTATCTCTTTCCAAATTGTCCATTCCCTATTAACAAACTCACTGTCCCCTAAGCTTCCTGTCTGACCTTTTAATTGCTGTTGTCAATTTTATCCCATATAGATCGTTCTTCAGAAGAGCATGATGTTCAAGGCGAACCTTCTTTACTGAATAAGCTACCTTACTGTTTGGTTTAAAGAAGACGTTAGGGGATGTTTTTGGTTTAAGGTTTAAAGATTATCTCAGGGCATCAGTTTCAGGGATTTATCCAGCCTCAATTGCTTGAGAAAAATCTAGATTCCATGTAGAATCTCTGATGAGTCTTGAGGCTCCCATGTCAACTGTGCGTTTGCTGTGGATTTTACCTTGCTGCTCAAGTAGAGTCGGACCCCACAACTCTCCCTGCATCTCTCCCTGTCTCTCTCACCATGAAGCTCAGCACCACGCATCATGTGTTAAAGATAAGGTGATGCATCTTCATTTGCCACTTTGATGGTGCTGTTCTGCCCGTTGTTCCTCTGGGCTTCCTTGGTTTCTGTCTTGCCAGCTTCTGCTGACCTCGTGATATTGATTAGCCTAATAAGACTCAAACTCCTGTGCCTGGTATCAATGATGGCAGTACTCATGGCCTCTAAGTTCAAGGTCAAAATGCTTCACAAGCTCGTTACGGTTTTCAGCACAGACTGTTGACTGGAAGCCAGAATACCACGGGCACATGGGCCCTTAAAGCTGAGGTAGAGTGAAGGATAGTCCTCCTTGTAGTCAGAGGAGCTCAAACTTCAAATGTTATGTGGTCCAGGGTGGAGGAGAAGGCCTACTCCACCCTCTCCACCCTCCCCAACTGAAGTGACAAACTGCCTTTTGTTGAGATGAAAGCAAGAATGAAAACTGCCCTCGCCATGATGAGCATAAGCAGCTGCTGGCCTGGGTTTGGCCATGGTTTTACTCTGACCCTCAGTGTGTCAGAGTTGGGAGGGGTTTACAAGTCAGTCACAATAACTCGCTGGACAAAGTATGAGTCTCTGATGAAATACCCTTAGCAATCAGACATCAGCCTGCACTTGAACAGCTCTGATGATGTGGAACTCACTCCCCCACAAGGTAGCCCCTTCCTTCTAAATGTTAGAGTGTTCTTCATATTGAGAGAAAATCTAATCCCCAGCTACTTGCATATATTGGTGTTGGTTTTGATTCTTGGGCCACTCTGTAAGGCTAATCGCTCTGTCATGCTGAGAATTCTCCAGATGTTTGCAGAGTACAATGATTAAAATGTAAAATGACAGCCATGTAACGTTGTCGTGGAATGTTGGATAGTATAGGACCGGAAATCGTTAATAAACAGCAAGGTTTCCTTTTTCCCTGACGAAGAACTGACAGGGGCCCTGAACACTTCTGAGCTCTGCCCCTCAACAGTAGAAGAAAGGAGAGACCTGAATTTATAGGTCCTGATTTGCAGTACAAGGAGCCCTGGTAGCACAGTGGTTAAGCACTCAGCTGATAACTGAAAGATCAGTGGTTTTAACCACCAGCGGCTCCATGGGAGAAAGATGTGACAGTCTGCTTCTGTAAAGATTACAGCCTTGGACACCCTATGGGGCTGTTCTACTCGGTCCTATAGGGTCGCTGTGAGTTGGAATCCACTCTTTAGCAGTGGGTTTGGCTTTTTGGTTTATTTGCAGTGCAGTGTTTGCCTAGAGCCAGTGCTCTGGAGACTTGAATGAATGCTGCACTGCCGGAGCCATTAAGTCTGTGAACTGAGGGAGTGTGGAATAAAATAGGACCCAGGGCCTTGCCGGGAATGTGTGTAAGTCTTGGTGTGCTACGTGTGGGCAATCAGAGTGGCGGCACTATTAACCAGGAGTGTGAGAGCCAGGCCAAAGGCTGAGGATGGATGGGAGGAATGAGTTCAAAGGCTGGTGTGGGCCGGGGGCCAAGAGAAGTCAAAGAACCAGTGTATGATATCTGAACAAGATGCTGAGGCACGGCAAGGGGTCCAGGCCAGGAGAGCAGCCCAGAGACCAAGTGTGCAGGAGGCGGAGGCTGTGTCACAGGGAGGGATTGAGCAGCATACAAGGCCGAGGCAGGTACCACACCAAAAAACCAGTTGCCATCAAGTCGACTCTGACTCATGGGGACCCCATGTATGTCAGAGTAGAACTGTGCTCCACAAGGTGTTCAATGATTTTTCAGAAGTACATTGTCAAGCCTTTCTTCCGAGGCATCTCTGGGTAGACTTGAACTGTAACCTTTTGGTTAGCAGCCAAATGTGTTGACCGTTTGCACCACCCGGGGACTCCAGGCATGACACGCCAGAGCCCAGAGCCCCGTCAGCATGACTGGTGCTACCTCCCAGAGGAAGTCTTTCTGCAAACACAGGCTCTGGCCCTGGAGCCTTGGCTGTTCCTCTCTGTGTCCTTTGCGGGGCCTTGCATTGTGTGTGCTGAGCAGGGGCTTGTTTCCACTCTAGATTGTCCAGTGTCGCTCATTGCTACCCACCTTGCCCACTGCATGCAGACACTTGTCACTCTACTACAGAGCCTAACGGTGTGGGGATGTTCACACTGTCACTCTAATGCAGAACTTTATAGTGTGGGGATGTTCAAGGCACACACCAGACACAGTGGGGACACATTAGATCTAGTTCCCACTACTCAGGTATCACCTTCATTCAGGATAAAATTGCTGACTCACACAGCTCTTGCTGCAGGGAGGTAGACAAAGGTGGACCCTTTGACATGTCCTCTCCTCTCAGGGCCTCATTCTTTAGGATTATAATTAGGGTGACCCTCTGTCAGCATTCACTGGAGAATGTCTAGGTTTGCACTGGTAGGCCAGAATTGCTAACAGCACCCAATTTCACTGTTAGAAATGTCCGAGATTGACTACTGGCCATTCTAATCAGGGCTACAATAGACGGACCCTGATAGAATGGGCGAAAAATGTGGAACAGAACCTCAAATTCCTTTAAAAAAAAAAACCAGACGTACTGGACCAGTTGAGACTGGAGGACTCTCTGAGACTATTGCCCTGAGATACTCTTCAAACCTGGAACCGAAACTAACCCCCGAGGCCAGCTTATAGCTGAATAACAGATTGGCTTACAGGATAAAGAGTATTTTGTGAGTACTGTGCTCCTTGAAAAATCATCTATATGATAAGTGGTAACTTTGGTAAAGGGTAAGACAGTACACAATACTGGGAAGCCAGCACAGCTTGTACAAGGCAAGGTCATGGACACTCCATAGATGCATCCAAACTTCCCAAGGGACCGAATTGCTGGACTGAGGGCTATGGGGACCATGGTCTCGGGGACCGTCTAGCTCAATTGGCATAACATGTTTATAAAGAAAGTGTTCTGCATTCTACCTTGGTGGGTAGCGTCTGGGGTCCTCAAAGCCTGTGAGCAGCCATGTAAGATATTCCACTGGTCTCACCCCTTTGGGAGCAAGGGAGAATGAAGAAAACTAAAGATACAAGGGAAAGATTAGTCCAAAGAACTAATGGACCACAATTACCACAGCCTCTACCAGACTGAGTCCAGTGCAACTAGATGGTGCCTTGCTACCACCACTGACTGCTCTGACAGGGATCACAGTAGAGGGTCCCGGACAGAGCTGGAGAAAAATGTAGAACAAAATTCTAACTCACAGAAAAAGACAAGACTTACTGGCCTGACAGAGACTGGAGAAACCCTGAGAGTATGACCCCCGGACACCCTTTTAGCTCAGTAATGAAGTCACTCCTGAGGTTCACTCTTCAGCCAAAGATTAGACAGCCCCATAAAACAAAACAAGACTAATGGGACACAACAGCCCAGGGACAAGGACTGCAAGGCAGGAGGGGACAGGAAAGCTGGTAATAGGAAACCTAAGGTCAAGAAGGGAGAGTGTTGACATGTCATGGGGTTGTTAACCAGTGTTATAAAACAATATGTGTACTAACTGTTTAATGAGAAACTAGTTTGTTCTGTAAACCTTCATCTAAAGTACAATGAAAAATCACCTATATGAGATCAAACGGTCAACAATTACTTTAAAACAAAGATGAGAATGTAAGGGGGCAGGGAAACTATATTAATGGAAATGAAACAGCCAGATTGGAAATAATGAGAATGTTCACGCATTGTGAAGAGTGTAACCAATGTCACTGAACAACTCGTGCAGAAATTACTCAACAGAAACCTAAACTGCTGTGTAGACCTTCACCGAAAAAACAACAAAATACTACTTAAAAAAAAAAAGGCCCTAGCTTGGAGGATAGTTACATGGCCACCCCAGTGACCATCCTCCTTACTACTTCTCCTTTTCCAGCCTCTTCACACCCTTAGGTTTCCTTGCGGATCAAGCTCTTTGCTTGGGGTTATGGTGGATACCTTAGGAGTGAGATGAGTTTGGGTGCAAGTTTTATTGTGATATGTTTTCATTTGTTTTGAATATGTGTCACATTTGTTTTTAAATCTAGGAATGGAAATTTCAGAAAATCAAAAGAAACTCGCCATGTTAAATGCTCAAAGGGCAGGACATGGAAAGTCAAAAGGTAAGGTTTTGAGAAGGTTTCATTCACCTCCTTAATGTGTATCAGTATTGGAATTAAAACGAGGGGGAAATGCCAATGCCAATGACCAACTCTAAGCAAAGAAGAGTATGGATAAAATGCAGAACAATAGATCCAAAATAATACAATCTGTATTTGGTCTTGAATGTGAATCAATGTTTACTTACATTTGAATATGGATATATAAAATGTCTTGGTGTTTTATAACTTTTCAAGAAGCAGTGAAATGTTTCTTGAAGTGGTACCAAAAAGCTTCCAGATTTCCCATCCTACTGACAACTTCCCTGCTCCTCACCCTTCTGAGGGAGGTATGGTATTATCCATCAGGCTATTGCAGTTCACAGTCTACAGGCAAACGAAGGTCTCTTGCACCTTTTTGGGCATGTTGAGTAGGAAATCTCCAACCCCAAACCTTTTGTCAGCTGTAGGTGAGACTTCAGCCTATTTAAGAAAAAAGCTAAAAATTCAGTACATCAAGCAATGACTTAAACGAAAAGAAGACACTCTAGCTAATGTAGCACAGTGATTCTCCACCCTGGATTCACATGAGAATTACCCAGGAGCTATTATTTTAAAGAAAAAAAGGATGCCCAGGTCACATACCCAGGGGTTCTAATATGCAATTTTCCACCATGCAGGTAATACAAATTAGCTAGCCCAACAGGAATTACATAATAAGGATTTTTTTTAATTCCAAAAATATACGTTGTCATCTTAGGAACTTTATTTAGATTGACTTTCTACTCTAATCCAATAGGATTTATCCTACTTAGTATTTTCCTAACTGAAAATGCAAAAGCAAAAACCAACTAAGCCCTGGACTGAGCCACATCAACACTTAGTATCTCCCTGCTCCTGGCTCACATGCAGGTTCCCCCCAACTAAGTATAAACATCTTCAAGGCAGAGGAGCCTGCTTTATTCCTTTCTTTTTTTTTTTTTTTTGCATTCCTACTTTTCATGGCCAGCAACTAGTAAATATCCGTTTGTTAGAATTTGTTAGTTTCAGTCACTCACATGGCAACAAGGCACCTGAAGAATGGCACAAATGCTAATGGGCAGTTGCTGTGTGTCAGGCACTTGACATATGTCATGTTACTTACCCCCCACCCAATAGCCCTGTAAGGGAGCCCTGGTGGCACAATGGTTTAGTATTCGGTTGCTAATGAAAAGGTTGACAGTTGGAATCCACCAACCACTCTGCTCCACACGAGAAAGTTGTGACAATCTGCTCCTGTGAAGATTTGCAGCCTTAAAACCCTATAGCGCAGTTCTGCTTTGTCGTATAGGATCGCTATGAGTTGGAATTGACTGGACAGTAATGGGTTTTGCTTTAGTTACAGCCCTGAAAAGGAACCTTGGTGATGCAAACGGTTAAGTGCTTGGCTGCTAACCAAAAGGTTGGTGGTTCAAAACCACCTAGCCATTCCACCCAACACTGCATAAGAAAGTCCTGGCAATCTGCTTCCTTAGAAGATTGCAGCCAAGAAAACCCTCTGGGGCAGCTCTACTTTTTCACTTCAGGCCGTTCTGAGTTGAAAATGACTTGACGGCACCCAGCAACAACATAGCCCTGGGAGGAGCCCCTGGGTGTTGCAGACACTTAAGTGCTGGACGACTAACCTAAAGGTTGGCAGCTCAGACCCACCCAGAGGCACCTCGGAAGTAAGGCCTGCTAATCTGCTTCTAAAGGGCACAGCCTTGAAAACCCTATGGAGTGCAGTTCTGCTCTGCCCGCTTGGGATCACCATGAGTTAGAATCAACTCAGTGACAACTGATAACAACAACACAACCCTGTAAGAGGTCCCTGGGTGGCATAAACGGTTTGCATTCATCTGCTAACCTAAAAGTTGACAGTTCAAACCCACTCAGTGGCACTACAGAAGAAAGGCCTGGCAATCTGCTTCCATAAAGATTACAGCCAAGAAAACCGTATGAAGCAGTTCTACTCTGTAACACAGGGTGTTGCCTGCCATGAGTCAGAATCAGCTCTACGGCAATGGGTATAGCCCTGTAAAATAAGGAAAATCTTAAAGGAAGTCAAGGGCACAGGGATGAGTTCTGAACGAAGTCCTGTTTGCTTCCAAAAGCAGACACGATACTCTTTCATTACATCATGCTGACTTACACAGTTTCCTTTTGATCTTGTAGCTAATTTTAGTAAACCTTTTTAATTATATCTGCACAGATTTAAAATGCCTATTCTAATGAAACTATCTTTATTAAAGCAATTAATTAGGTAGAATGCCTAGTGGAGTCAACTTAGTAATGAGAGCAAACATTTTCAGAACACACACCAGGCATCAGGGCAGAGTTTACACCTTAACTTACAATAACTCGTTTAATTCCCCTAATGTTCCCGTAGATGCTGTCATCCCATTTTAGAGATTAGGGAACTAAGGGACAGGGACGTTAGATCATTTCCTCAAATTTACACAACTAGGAGGCAGCAGGGTAGGATTTGGGCCGAAGCAGTACGAGCTTCATGCTTCCACTTAAAGCATTTTATTGCTTCTCATTCCAACTAGCTGTCCAGTTCTAATTCTGCTACTTACTTCTATGCCACTTGTTGTGAGCTGCCATTGAGTCCCATCCCCATGACTGGTTGTGGATCAGATCGTTGGGATCTGTAGGGTTTTCATTGACTAATTTTTGGAAGTAAATCTCCAAGCCTTTCTTCCTAGTCCATCTTAGTCTGGAAGCTCCGCTGAAATCGTTCAGCATCATCACAACAGACAAGCCTCCACTGACAGACAAGCAGTGGCTGCACATGAGGTGCGTTGGCTGGAAATCAAACCTGTGTCTACAGCATAGTAGGCTAGAATTCTACCACTGAACCACCATTGTCCCCACTGTGTAACCTTAGGTGATTTAAATGACCTGTCTGGGTTTCAGTTTTCGTCTCTGTCCAATCGTCTGATTGAGCTAATAGTACCTTCTCTGAAGAGTTTCTGTGAGGATAAATGGGATAAAGTATGTAAAGCTCAACACAGTACCCCATGCTCCACAGGGTTTCCAAAGCTGTAATCTTTACGAAAGCAGACTCCCACATCTTTCTTCCATGTTGAGTTTGAACTGCCAACCTTTTGGTTAGCAGCTGAGCACTTAACCACTGTGCCACTAGGGCTGTTTTCACACACAGTATATGAACATAATAAGTGTTTCTTAAATGATAGCCAGTAAACGTACTTTTGGTTCATTTGAATTAAGAATTAACCAACAACTCTTCCTTGTTCTTGGTTAGTCACTGACCTTCCGTGCGTATTCTGTTTCCTCCCCTCCTGGCCCAGGCTATAGTGGGCGCCCTGTGCCGCCGCCCCACCAGAGCTTCCTCCCCATCCACCAGCGCCACATCACCGTGCCCACCAGCCTTCCGCAGCAGCAGGTCTTCGCCCTGGCTGAGCCCAAGCGGAAGCCTTCACTTTTCTGGCACACCTTTAACAAGCTCACCCCTTTCAAGAAATGAAGGCGGGATGGCTGCGCCTCCACGGAGCTGACTGTGAAGAGGAGAGCCATTGTCGTCTTTGCCGTGCTAAATCCAAGGAGCGCCTCTTGGGCCCAGTGCCAGAAACTTCTTTTTGGGGAATCAAAGAAGGAGAGGAAGATTCTGACTCGCCTTCAGTCGCCAGAACCCCAGCTGCCTTCTTGGAAGGGAGGAAAAGGTCATGGTGCACAGCTTTCACACTCACGAGAACCCTCCGTGGCCTGCTGTGACACGGCGGGGACTTGGGGACCAGAACACGCTCTGAAGTGGGTGCCGAGTTGGCCGGCTGCAGTGGTGTGGCTGATGGTGAGCGCATCCATTTCTGACCCAGGCCAGGCTGCAGCTCTAGAGCACTCAGAGCTGCCCCTCAGTTCCTGAGGAGTGTAATGAGAGGGTCTCATGTGCATGTGGTTCTGTAGGGATCCATCGGGATGGGGCTGGTCCGATGCTGCCTCTTGCCAGCACACATTTGGGGAGACCTGGAAGGAGAGCTGTTACTCTCTGCCATGGTATAGTAGGGGCCTTATGGCTGCTTGGAGATGGCCGCAGTGTTCCCTGGGGTCGTCTAAATCCACATAGTTGCCAAGTGGTAATGCATACTTCATCTTACAAGGTTCCTCTTCCTACAGGCTAGGAAAAGCAAAAACATGATTTATTCATCACTTGGCAGCAAGATCTGCAGTGCAGAATGACTTTAGCATTCCAAAGGTACTGTTCTTTGCAAGGGAGGGGTGAAGCTGTGCTTCTCATTCAGGTACTCTCCTGCTGGTGTGTATTATGTAGTCCTACAAGCAGAAATCATGTCTTGTCGTCGCCTAAGAGACTACCATTCAAAAATACCTGTTGCAATAGAAAAACCCATTTATTTTGATTTTTATGATAAATTGAATATGAAAATACACAAGACTGTAAAGCCTGCTTGAAGAGCATTGGCACACTTCTTCCGTCAGTTGTTTATACCATTTCACAAATGAAAGTACAAAAACACTTAAACATTCCACTGAGGAAGCATGAACGAAGCCACAGATCCTGCCCTGGGATTTGGAACTGACTTTGTTGCATAAACCCAAACTAGTAGTGCACACCTGTGCCATTATTTGCATGTCAACAGATGAAAAGAGACCATAACAAAGTATCGAGACTCAGAGATGGCAGTCTTTTTTAACAGAGGCCACACTGGCTGATACCTGTAATCTCCTCCTCTTTGTCTATATTGTAAATTTTGATGAAAATATTTTTTTTTTTTTTTGAATACCTGGAGAAGACAGGCTCTACAAGATAGATGGCGTTGTAATTGACTCGGTGCACTGGACAGGAGGGAAGACAAAATTTATGGATTTCTATTTGAGAAGTTCTCTTTTGTACGCTACAAAAAGTAACTGTATGCTTGGAAAGTTCCTTTTTCTAGTAGGTACATGCTTGAGAATAAACACATGTATAATGGCAAAGACAAATGTGTAATCTAAGTCTCCAGCGTGTGGCTCCTCTGTTCTCCCTCTCCCCCCTTATTGGAGCAATTCTTGAAGGGAGGTGACCAGTGTGCATAAGAAGACATAATCCCAGACCCCTGTGGTGGGCCTTTAGAGCATTATGTAACAGTTGTTCATGAAGTCTTATTTGCTGACCATCCTCTTAGGCTACTTTTGCTTGCTTATTTAAATAGGCAGCATCACTGAGAAGTTGTGACCTCTATGACTAACAAAGCCGTGTGTCCTGAGTTAGAAGTTGCTAGAATTCTGTGTGAAAGATTCCCAGGAGGTGCTGTGGCTGTGTGTGTGTCTGTGTGTGTCTTTTTTTGAATAGACGTGTCAATTTGAGTTGCATTTATATAATGCAACTTTTCATTAATAAAGTACAGTGAACATGACAGGGCTGCCTTGTTTTTCTGTGTCTCACAAGTTTTCTGTCTTTGACAGGGTGCGGTCTTACCACTTTTCTATTGCTCGTTTTAGTGGAAAATATTTGAGTTTTCCTTCTCTGACAGGCTTACACAAGTTCCGGCTTTCGCAGGTTTTATTATGTAATGATATGTTTTGAGAACTGTACCTAATATGATGTTTCTGGATGACTCAGCAGGGGCTCTGTGCTAAATAGAGTTGTTTTTGTGTACAGCAGTTTTGCAATTTTGTTTGTTTTTATGTTACATAAGAGAATTGCTTTAAGGAAGTAAAGAATCATTGGCTTATGTTACGTTTTCATTGAGGACTCAATTAATGTGAAGAACCACTCAAAGGGCTTCTTTTTACTAATATACAGGTTGATGGTGAAGAAATGCTTTCAGTTTTGTGACCATTCCTAATTTATTTCCCATCTGAGCCCTAACTTCTGATTCCCACCTCTATCTCCCCGGGCTTCCTAATGGAGAAGCACCAGGACATGTTCTTACTACGTCCTGGGGTTGCCCCAGTAGGTGTTGTACAGTTTGAAAGTCACTCAATCAAATATTTGTTCTGAGTAGATCCTACTTAGGCTTCTAGGATGTAGGTAGGATCCTTGGCATCCTTTAGGATGCTAAAATCTTTTTATAAGAAGAAAATATCCTTTGGCCTCTTTACGCCTGTATGTCTAGCTTGCGTTTTATTTCCGAATGCCTGAGTGCTACAAAGAATAAAAGGCTCAAGTATTCAGATTTCAGGTTTGCCAAACTCCCTTCTTGAAAGTCATGTGTTTCACTTGGACAGAAAAAGCGAGAAAAAACAAAGAGCCTCTTATGTGGATTATGTACTTCGTTGTAAAATCTCTCTCTGTTTGTCTTCATTTTTCTCTGTCTTTAACCCTACATTATATAATATTGCAGAGGGAGAAAGATGACATAACATTTTGATGAATTTCAGCTATTCTTCCATTCATTCATGTTTCAGAATTTGCAAACTCTGTTGAAAAAATGGTTAAAATGGCCTTTGGTCAAAAGCAAGCTTCTAAATTTTGACCATACTTAAAATATATGACAACCCTGCAGAAGATTGTAAGCAATTATAAAATATTTGTAAAATCCTGGAAAAACAGCAATCTTTGTCTTTGGCCTGCAAAGTAGAAACAGGATCGCAGCAATTTGCCCTGACTTTCCTAGAGTACTGTCGAGAGAGCTGGATCGAGAGAGTTGGTTCCAGTAGATCTGACCTCGCCCCCGCCCCCTCCCCCGGGTAGATACCATTGTGTAGTTGAAAATGTGTCACCCCATCTCCATAGTATTTCTGTGTTTTGTTGTGCCTTTTCATTCCTAATTCAGACAAAAACTGACTCCAGGCCTGTTAAGGAAATCCTTCATTGCTATTGTCTACAGACAAAGCAAAAGTGCATTTAATTTCAAATTGTGTTCACAATAGAAATTGTTTGTAGAAGCCATGTGATCAGCATTTTACCAGCTGGAAATTTCTACATGCCCGTACTGCTGCTAATCCTTAATACAAATTAATAACCTAGCCAGACTAGAACAGCCTGGTTACCTGGAGTTAGAGGGAGCAGAATGGCCATATTATTTTGTAGAGGAGGAGGAGAAACATAGATGTGTCCCTCCCAGGATAGTGCCAACGAGTATGAGTAAGTGGCCTTCGATGACTTACGGCCCAGTGATGCTGGAACACAAATCAACTTCTGGATGAACTGCTAGGAAACAAGGTTGTCCCTGGAATGAGCTTAACCTACAAATAACTCTCTATTAAAACTTCTCTTGGCAAATGCTATTGTTTACAGGATGCAAAAGGCGGAGTTCAAAAACCTTTGGAAAAAATATGTGGAAACCAGCTGGTATTTAAAAAACAAAAACTGACACAAATTTACTTCACTTCACCACTCACTTTTCATTCTTGCCTTTAATTATTTCATAGGCATTGACACTTGTGTTTTTTCCTTCTAACTGATTCTGTAATTTAATAATTGGTGTATTTTGTAAATATTAACATCTATTGTTACCTGCTCGGCAAGGCTTTTGGTAACTTCTTTGTTTAGTTTTAACTCATCAACCTCAAGATGATGTTAATCTGTGTCAGTCAAGTGACAGCTTCAAAACTGATGAACTCTTGACGGCTGAAGTATGGTGTACACAATTGCTGTGACTTGATATGTATTTTGTTGAATGAAGTTTTTTTGTAAAAAAATTATTTACAATGTTATTTGAATGATTTCTTATAAATGATGTGAAACTATATTTGTTGTTTTGTATCTATACATTAAAATTAATTTGCCAAACTGGTTCTAGCACTGCATTTGAGCATTAAAATAAAACAGATACATTGAAAAAAAATGTGGAGTGGGTGCCCTGAGACTTTCTGGGATTTACAGATCATTCCCCGCACTTGCATTGGTGGCCGCCTTTTCAGGAACAATTTATCCACTAATGAGCTGGATCACACCACTGGAGAGGTGTGGGAGAAAGAAGACTCTGAGAGCAACCACGAGGAAGGACCCACTTAGAAATCACTAGAGTTGGTAGATGGTGGGATAAGACTGGCTGGATACACTGAAGACCTATGTAACCAAAACCTGAAGAGAAGTTCTATTTTGTAGCACACCTTTTGCTACTGATGATGGAAGGTAGATGAACAGAACATGCCTTGTATATGTACCTTTTACTTCACAATAGCTGGCCTGGACTCCCTGGACAGGATTGGTGGCCTTCCAAACCCTTAGGGAGATCTGCTAGTGGCCCTGGGTACATTTACTCTTTGAGGGTGGGGTTGATAAGAATTTCCTTCTCTAATTAACAGCTTAGAAAAGCTAAGTAAATACCCCATTGTTTGCTGTGGTTATAATCGGAAAAGTTCCTATAAAGGTTGCCAAGTAACTACTTCCCACCTTTTGTTTATTTACTCTAAAAATCCACGTACTTAAACCAAAATGATCTGCTCACCCCTTGAGAAAGGGCTGGATTGGGAGAGGGGTCTTAGCTTGGGTGGGGGAGGAGGGCGAAAGCACTGAGAACATAAGGTCTACCTCTCAAGTGTCCCCTGCTGACTCAAGATGGTGAAGGAGTGAAAATTATTTATAAAGGGTAGTGACATTTCCTTCTAGGTCCCTGGGTGGAAAAAAGGTTTGCACTCGACTACCGGCAGTTCGAACCCACCCAGCAGCGCCATAGAAGGAAAACCTAGCGATCTGCTTCCATAAAGATTACAGTCAAGAAAACCCGTCGGACCAGTTCTACTCTGACACACATGGGGTCCCCATGATTCAGAACCAACTCAATGGCACACGGGTAATTACTATATGCACAGGAGAGACGAAGTTAAAATGTGAATCCTCCAAAGAAACATACAGTTGAGGAGGGAAGGCGTATAAAGGTAGAATTAAGATTCAGGATGAGTGGTACAACAATAGAAGTGTGTACAAGTTATAAAATAGATTCAGAGAATGAAGTCCTCCTGGTGGGTGTATGTGGCAGGGGTCAAGATTCCTAGAAGGCCTGTACAGGAGGCAATGCCTAAACAGGATTATTTTTTTAATTTTATTGTGCGTTAGGTGAATGTTTACAGCTCAAGTTTCTCAATCAAAATTTTATACACATACTGTTTTGCGATGTTGGTTGCAATCCCCACAATGGGACAGCACTCTCCCCCTTTCCATCCCAGGTTCCTGTGTCCATTCATCCAGTTTTCCTGTCCCTTCCTGCCTTCTCGCCTTCCTTTTGGACCAGAGTTGCCCATTTGGTCTCGCATATCTGATTGAACTAAGAAGCACGTTCCTCACGTGTGTTGTTTGTTCTATAGGCCTGTCTAATCTTTAATGGAGCCCTGTTGGCGCAGTGTTAAAAGCTATGGCTGCTAACCAAATGGTCAGCAGTTTGAATCCACCAGCCATTCCATGGAAACCCTATGGGGCAGTTCTACTCTGTCCTATAGAGTCGCTATGAGTTGGAATTTGATGGCAACGGCTTTGGTTTTTTTGGGGGGGGTTCTAAGGCGGAAAGGAGAACTTTGAGAATGGCTTCAGTTGTGGGTTAGCAGGGTCTTTTTTTTTTTTTCTTCCAATTGTTAAAAGTATATACACAGCAAAACATACACCAATTCAACAATTTATACATGTATATATTTCAGTGACATTGATTACATTCTTCAAGTTTTGCATCCATTCTCATCCTCTTCCAATTTGTTCCTCCATTAATATAAACTCATTGCTCCCTAAACTTCCTATCTGACCTTTCAAGTTGCTACTGTCAGTCAGGTCCCATATAAATAGATCTTCAAAAGAGCACAATGCTGAAGGCAGACATCCTTTACTAAATAAGCTAAGCTGTTGATTGGTTTAAAGAAGACTTCAGGGGATATTTTTGGTTTAAGGTTTAAAGATTATCTCAGGACAACAGTTTGGGGGTTCATCTAGCCTCATGGCTCCATAAAATCTGGATTCCATGAAAATCTGAAATTCTGTTATGCATTTTCCCCCTTTCGATAAGATTCTTCTATAGAATCTTTGGTCAAGATGTTCAGTAACGGTAGCCAGGCACCATCCAGTCCTGGTTTCGTGGCATAGGAGGCATTTGTTCACACAGAAGAAATCAGGCACCCATTCCATTTCCTCCTGTTCCTGACTCCTCCTTCCTCTGCTGCTCCAGGCCAGTAGAGACCAATTGTACCTTGGATGGCCACTTGCAAACTTTTAAGACCCCAGACACAATACAACAAACTAGGAGGTAAAACAAAAGCACTAAAAACGATATTAGGCCAATTACTGGGATGCCCCATGAAATCATGACCCTAAACTTCCAAACTAAGAAACTAAATCCCATGAGGTGTTTGGTTGTACAGAAGCAGCCTCAACAGCTCCTTTTTTTTTTGTTTTGGTAAAAATGTATATTATACAGCATTTGCCAATTCAACTTCTTACAAGTGTACAACTTACAACAATTACATTAATTAGCTGTGCAACCATTACCCTTACTCAATGTGACTTTTCCATCGTCGTAAACAGAAACTCTGCTCCACGAAACAGGATTCTGAAGGGCGCAGGAGCTCACGTGAGGTGTACAAGGTGAGGCAGGGCACACATGGTGTGCTCGGTGTTGCTGGAATTAAAGTGCCATGTGAATTGCCTGACAGACCAGAATGGTGGACAGAAGCCAGATCAAAAGGACCAGTATACCTTGATGAGGTGCTTGGATTCCATCTGGTAGGCAAAGTGTTTAAGGCAAGGAAAGATGAGACCAAATTTGCATTTTTAGGAGCTCACTCAAGAGGCAGTGTAAAGGGTGGGTTTTAAATTAGAAGCAGGGATGTGATTTAGGAAGAGCCTCAACGAGATGGATTGACACAGTGGCTGCAACAATGAGCTCTAGCATAACAACGATTGTGAATATGGTGCAGGACCAGGCAGTGTTTCATTCTGTTGTACATAGGGTTGCTATGAGTTGGAACCGCCTCGACAGCACCTAACAACAATAATAGGGTCGCTATGAGTTGGAATGGATTCGATGGCAACAGGTTTGGTTTTTGGTTTGGTTTAGTCCAGAGAAGAGCTGACTAAGTCTGTGAGCAGCACTGGGAAAGGCAAGGGGGTTGGATGTGAACGGTTGTTGTTGGGTGTCATCAAGTCGATTCCAACTCATAGTGACCCCATGAGACAGAGTAAAACTGCCCCACCTGGTTTCCTAGGCTGAAATCTAGCTGAACAATCAGACCTAGCAGATCAACACGTCTTTTCTCCCACGAAGCTGCTGGTGGGTTTGAACTGAAGACCATTCAATTAGCAGCCAAGCACTTAACCGTTGTGCCACCAGCTCCTTAATAGTCCACTTGAAAGTATACCTGTTTCCCCTCATTTATTAAAAAGGAAACTAAGTTTTCTAAAAGAAGCGATACTAGACAAGATACTACCTGACTCTAGGGTGGCTGCAATTTCTGAAGCTCTTCCGAGACATCTTGTGCCTTACTTTGTTCCCTCCCCTTCCTGCTGTTTTGCAGACATATCCACTAGGGAATTGTATGGCAGGAAGGCATGATTTCATTTAGTTTGCTTGTGATTCTTGATCCGCACAGCACCTGGTACAGCCTGCAGCTTTGGGGTTCAGGTAAGTGCATTAGAAAAGAATTTCTTTACAACCAATTCGAAGCATTTGGGTCCTAAGACGGCTCTTATTTTAGCAATGTGTAATAATCCTGCTTAATTTTTTGCAAAATAGATAGCTATAGAGTTTTGAGTAGGAAACCAGTAAGTTGTTTCCAAGATACATTCTTGAGGAAGAGGCTAAATAGGTGATAAAAGCAGATTTTGAAACTCTTCTGCCAGAACTCTGCAAACTGGCTGGGTAGAGGGATTAAAAATAATAGAATAAATTCATAACAGTTTTTAAGAGTTTTCTGTAGAAGCTTCCTTGAGCAGTTTGTCCTATTATTTTGCACAGACTTTAATCTGTGTATTTTTACACTTATGGCTATGTTAGTTTACAATTTAGTAAAAAAGTTCTCAATATATGTTGACGAAGAAATTTATAAGGTATACAATGCATATAGCACATGGAAGAAAACATTCAATCAAGGCAGCTTAGAGATTTTTAGATTCTTAGACTACCACACCTTCGAGGGATGTTGAGGAGTTCACTCCTCCCATTTTAGTACAAGGAAGTTGACGCTCAGAGGTTTGGTGACCCGATAAAGATTGCTCAGCTAGTTTCTGGCAGGTCTGTATTAAATCTTAGTATTTGGGGAAGTAAGAAACTTGATGAGCAGAAACCCTTAACCTTTGCTGTGGTACATGATGCATTTGGAGAAAATCTAGAGGAGCATTTGTTAACCCTTTATCAAGAAATTCAGTAGTGAAGGAGAAATTCAGATAAAGTGTAGGAGGAATGACCCAGAAATAAGTAAATAAGAGCCTATTTTATTTGAGACTGAAAAACAACAACAACAAACTCTAACATCATCTTTGCAGTCTGTGTCCCTTTGCTCCTACCATGCTTATGATGTGACATATCAGTATATCCTGTTTATGAAGTCACAGCAGCTTAAGATACAGACCAAGGACCTTCCAGGCTCTCTCCCCATGAACTTCAACATTCAGCATAGTGACTGCATCTATTCTCTACGCATTTCATGTTAACCACATTGATCCGTCTAAGTCAGTGACTATTGTCTGTTTTTTAATATATTACCTGACCTGTTGCATACCCAATGAGTCCTCAGCAACTCTTACTATTGGACTGACCACAGATGTCCAACAAACCTTCCTCACTTCTCACAAGTGGCCCAGTCTTGGCA